CCCCCACTGCATAGGCTGCTCTGAGCGCCATACTCCTGCTAAGTTAGCTGCTGCCTGCTCCTTGTAGCCACCATCAGGATCATCTACCGCAGCGGTTCTCAACCTATGGGTCTCGACCCCTTTGGGGGTCGAACCACCTTTTCACAGGGGTCGTCTACGCCTAAGACCACTGGAAAACACATATTTTCAATCATGTTAGGAACCGAGACACCGCTCCTCTCCGTCTCCAGGTGGGTCTGCCCACATGCAGATAGATATGCCCACATACGAGCTCCTGGTGTGAAGACTTACCCGTGCGACACCATGCTTCGAGACAAAATTTCATTTATTCGTCATTAGAAATAAATATTGCCCGGCCTATAATGACATTGTTTTTGCGATTCATCACTCTGCTTTCATGATGTTGAATTTGTAACCATGAAACTACATCCTGCCTATCAGATAGTTACATGACAATTCATCACAGTAGCAAAATGACAGTGATGAAGTAGCAACGAAAATAATGCTATGGTTGGGGGGTCACCGCCACATGAGGAACTGTATGAAAGCGTTGCCGCATGAGGAAGGTTGAGAACCGCTGGTCTACCCGGACCTCATCTTTAAATGTACAAGAACTGGGAGATCTCAGACCGGCCGTGCCTGGAAGTGGAAGGGGAAATGTTCTGCAGGACAGAAGGTCACATCGCGGACTCGCTCGCTGGTGGCAATGCCTCAGTGAGAGCCCTGACTGCCATACATCGCTTGCAGGAAACAAGCCATCCCAAAGCCGTCCACAGGAAATACATCAAAGATGACATGAGCTCACTCAAAGGCAACCTTGACGAGCAGAAACCAGAAAGAGCCAAGCCTTTTATGACGGGCTGCCGGAGCACAGCCTTGTGAACTTCAAAGGCGACCAGGGGGCATGGTTGTTCAGCTGGGCCACCAGGAGGATGGTGTGACCCCATCTATGATCGTTTCTAAGCATGGCTTAGAGATGGAGAAACACGGACACAGCAGGGAACTCACGGATGATCGGCTGCTGCTCACCCACGGGCCACCGGGACAGACAAACGGAGCTGATGTTGTCTTGAGCGCTTCATTTACTTTTGACCTTG